ACTTTCTTGGTTTTCTAGGACACCCTCTATACAGGGTATCCCAAAAGTATGGAAACCCCAGAATAACTCGGAAGTAAAGGGCTATACGGAAAAACGTTTCATACAAAAGTTTCAGGATTTTTTCCGGGCTATTCAATGATGACCTACAATTTGACATTGACCTTGGTCTTGACGTTGAAGGTCATTTCAAGGACAAGGTCATTTTTCAAATGGGAACACCTACTTTTTATCGCGGAAAATTTTACGTCCGAATTTGGCTTTGACCATGACCTTGAAATCAAGGTTATTTCAAGGTAGAGGTCAATCTTGTGAGGATAACCCATATTTTTTATTGTGGAGTTAGAAAGAGCGGAAAATTTTGCTTCCGAATATGACTTCATGACCTATTTTTTAGACCACTTCAGAACACTTTTGTATGAAACGCTTTTCCGTATGTCCCTTTACTTCCGAGTTATTCTGCGGTTTCCAGGCGGTATCCATAAAAAATCTTATTTGACCTTCTAATGACCTTGACCATGGTCAAAGTCATATTCAGACATAAAATTTTCCACTCTTTCCAACGGCCTGATAAAAAGTAGGGATTTCCATTTGAAAAATGACCTTGACCTTGAGATGACCTTCAAGGTCAAGACCAAGGTCATCATTGAATAGCCCGGAAAAAAACCTGAAACCTTTGTATGAAACGTTTTTCCATATAGCCCATTACATCCGAGCTATTCTGGGGTTTCCATACTTTTGGGATACCCTGTATATAGTGTCCAAATTTACTCATCTTTCTAATTTCTACACCAAAATCGTTTGCGAAGCCAGAAAACAGCTGTAACACCATTTAAAGAAACAGTATCGGTTCAAAACTTATTATTAATTGAATCAGTTTTCACTAATCTTTCAAATCGCTTTGTAACCTATGTTGCGAATCGAAATTTTCTTCGGTTACGATATTAATCGATGCTTCGAATGGAAATATTCATCGACATTTTGAATTTAACCACCGGTGTTGTCCATAAAGCTTTAGACTGCTCCAGACACATGAAGTCAGAGTAAAGGAAGTTCACAGAGCCCGGAATCCCCAAAAAGCGTTTCATTGTTATTATGGGAAGCTATCAGTAAAGGCGATCGAACGTCAACTCTTCTCAAGCACATTTCATTAGACAGGACAATGATTCTGACCAGTATACGAAGTACGACTCTCAATTTTCTAATACAATACGATACAATTGTGAAAAAAAGCAAAATAATCCAAAAATTTTGCCAAATTATTTTTTTTTTAATTAAAAATGAACCTAGTTGAATTTTCTTTCTAATTCTTTGTATCCTGATTAAACATGTTCATTTCCTCACTGCTATTATAGAGGTCGTTTTGATTCATATGAGTGTAGGTTCTGAAACGTATTTTGGTGGAAACTCTGCCTTCTTGATATTTGAATTCGCCAAATGCGAGACACAGACGGCGAACCGTTCCTTTTGCTGGCTGACCGAGGAAAGGAGCGTACAATCGCCTGAATGACGGCATTGTCCGTCGGATCGTGGCCCTATTGTCGTGCCCGAGTCTGAAATTCGCCACAGGAAGGCAGCTGTCACCACAAAGCATTTCTATGGGCGCTGTGTGTTATACATTTCGAAAACAAACTCGGCCTTACGCAAACAGAGCATTCTTGGCTGTTTGGACGGGATATTTGCACGACAAATCTTGCCCTGTAATCGCAGTTTCAATATTTCCCGTGCAAACAGCTTTTTGTCGACGGGCGGCCGAGGTGGCGTCGTTCTGCAGGAAGCAGTGGACCTCAAAGGAAACGGTATATATATAAATAAATCCGCTGGGAACGCTGGTAGTCTGTCTTCGTAGGAAGTGCTTTGAGATGTCTCGCATTGTACCGCTGTTTCGAACAGTCTAAAATGATTGCTTCTTTGAAACAGTTACAAGTCGAGATCTTCGCTGGGTAATTGGTTCCTTCCTCGTAACATTTTTCAAAGAAAATCCAAGCACTGAAATTACTTAACGATCGTATTCTTATGATTATTAATATTTGTAGAATTTTTTGCAGTATATTTATTTTATTAACAAAAAAAAACTGAGTCAGTTGAACATGTATAAAACGCCTAGCAATAAAATTTAATGAGTTTCATAGGCGTCCTAAAAATGTTTGTTGAGAAAAGTAAAAAATTATAAATATTTCATATGTTCATTTGGCCAACAACATATTTTAATTATTATTTATGTCCTCAAACAATTTTATTATATTGATGGTAAATTTCATTTTGTTCCGTTTCAAAAGGTCTCCAAACTGGCATGTTGTAATAATATTAGTAAACAAAATATCCCTCTTATTTCTCCCTTTGATGATTAATAGAAGGTGCCTATAATAAATTTAAATTGCCTGAATCACACCAAATTGCATTGATGCACTGCACTGCTAGGCAATTTGTCAACCACTTGTCAATAATTGAGATTTATTGCCCAGTTGCCCAGTGCAGCTGTGTTATATGCCGTTTGCCCGCGCGCACATTCTTCAGCTGGGCGAATACATTTTTACCATTTTCACGTTTAGTTCGACCAGACCCGTATATGGGTATGGCTAAATAAATATGGAAACAAGTTTTTCAAATATTTCAATGCCGAGTTGCTGCGTCAGCGACCGAACCTGGTACATACTGCCAACTTCGTGGTTCTTCGATTAGGATCGGAAAAACTATACAAACACTGATTATACCTACTAACTAAAAGTAACAGTAACAGATAATTAAGGCATTTTATGAATACTATAGATTCTGTCAAACTGTGAAGATATTGGAAAAGTAAATAGTTTTCTTTTTACCATTCTTTGGTAGGATTTAGAAGGACTGGGGTCTGGCGAGTGTAGGTCTAGTAGTATGGGAGATGTGGCTAAAAATTTTGCTAAAAATAATTTTATTATTGATTGGTTGCTTGCGTTAGAAAAAAAACGATTTTATTTCAGAAAAAGTTTAAAAAAACGTCAGGAATATTTTGACTTATTAAAATATAGCACATAAATGGTTCTAATCCTTACGTTTGCCATACAAATGACATAATAGGTATTATATATTCTAAAAATATATTACCTATAGCAACTTTTTCAAATAAAAAATTGTCGGGCCATTTTCATTAAAAATAACCAAGAGCTTGTTACTGTGGAGTCAGAAGCATCACACATGGAATTCGAAGATCTTCTTTTTCAAGTAAATTTTGCAAATCATGTTATTTTTTGAGCTCGATTCTTTCGTTTGCTTATATGTTGAAATTTAGTTGAAAAACACTGGATAGTTTTTTTAGTTATGGATAATTGATACCTTGTTTCTTTTCTATGTTTACTCATAAAAAATGGAGCTTTTGTTCCTTTTTGTTGTTTTAAATGAAATACATTATATTTCCTTTTGTTAATTGGCCTTTGAGCAGAACCATTTTGAGATTTGAAGGCATATAATATGTTATTTTTATACTCATTGAGGTTTATTTTTTCAAGGGGTTTGTTCCAAGTTCTTCCAATTTTCGTTTCAAATTTTTTTGTAGAATGTGATGTCCAAAGATTTTTTTTATTAAAGAACTGATTTGTTCCTGAAAAATTGGTGGTTGGTAATCAGAGAAATAATTGAACATCGATTTAAAGACATAACCAAAAACATTTTTTTTTGAGAAAAAAGACAGCCTGCATTTTTTGCAGGAGCAAAATTATACAGGAGCACATCATAAACATTTCGATGACAGGTATTCATTTGTTCTGGCTTCTTGCTTTTTTAAAATCCTGTTTGGTACGTTTTATAAAAAAAATGAGTATTTTGAGGCAAGGATACATTTTTGTGGTAAACCTGTTCAGGCGTATCACAATCCTGAATTAATAATATTAAATAATATAAAAGCATTTCATAATTTTTAATTAAGTAAATCTATTTGGTAAATAATCTTGACTGGAAAACGATTTTATAATTTCAAGATTATGATATGCGCTTGCCAAATAAATGTGTTCTTAATTAAATATAATACCTAGATATTTTAATGATGCTATGCGCAGGTAACAATTGTTTTTCAAAGCATACTTTTTAAATTTATGAAATTGTCCTCACCTTTGACATTTACATAAAATTGTTAATTTTGTTGATTATTTGGCTTACAAAACATCAAAACTTGACATAGATGAAACCAATTTCCGATCGAAATTGAAGTTAAATAAATCAACTACTATTAAACCGTTTCTAATGCATTCCTAGATTTTGGAGAACTTTTTACATGTGTACATTTTGTCGCACCTAAATATCCTAATAGTAACATGAATAAAGAGAATTGTGGTGTACACAGATCACACTATCCATGTCTAGACTATAGTAGAATCATATTCGATGCAATGTAATAAATCATTGCCTGTCAAGGGATCCAGTACAGTACGGTTTTAAGGGGTTTAGAAATTGAATAATTTCTTTATGCATTATGAAAGGATGGAGGGATCCGTTCACGTCTGGCACCCCTGTTCCTTAAAAAATTCCTTTATTCTAAATGTAAATTTGTTTCTTAAACTCCACATATGTACTACATTTTACCTCAGTACGCGCCACTGTTGTTTACTTGTTTTTTCGAGACGGTCTCTGATTTATGACCAAACTTGCCAGATTAGTATTTGACGTATAACCGACCACTTCATACACTCGATGCACCTGGGCGATTACAACTACTACCAGAACACAATGCGTATGATGCGGTATTTCAGATTTTACATTCAGTTTCATTTTAAATTTGAAATGATTTATTTTACGCGTCTTAAAAATGATGACACGTTTTTCCTTTGATAAAAGACCGAAAATTTTTTGCTCTACTTTGCATCGAATACGATCCTACTGTAGATATTTAAAAAAATGGTATACAAAGGTATATTGTTTATTTTATAACTTGTATATTTTAGTTCATTTATCTTCTATCTATCTATCTATTTCCTACTTAACCATTTTTCTTCGATTATTTTTGGTTTTAACGCAAGTTTTTTTTTCAACAGGGTCCGCCACAGCCCGGCCAACCGTTTAAATTTACGGTGGGCGAGTCCTGCGACAGGATAAAGGAAGAGTTCAATTTCCTGCAGGCGCAGTACCACAAGTAAGTATCTCTTTCAGTTCTCAGCCCCTTATAATTTTTTTTATCAAACCGAGACCAGCATTATGAATCAGTACATACAAATTTAAGTCAGTAAATAAACCAACACTTCAAGAAACATTTGTCCGGGAACGACGATTAAATACGTACCGGGAATCCGGCCTCTAGATCGCGTAGATGTGAGAATACCGCCACGTCGGTACCTGCAGAAAGGAGTTGCGATCATTTGTGCACATTCCCGGCATTCCGCCGGCGTCTCACTCGCATTTAATTGAAAAATTGTAATTGGTTCTTAAACAAGCCTCAGATCTCTGCGCTGACGCTCCATACATTTACTCCGGACTTTCGTATTTGGTAACCCGTCTAATAAAACCTGCGCGGCCGCTTCTCGAAACACGTAAACCAACAAAGAGAAGTCGAGTCGAGATAACAGTTTTACATGCTACCGGTGGCTGCCTTGCGCGCCGCCTCTTATAGCTCGTTTCGGAAGAGTACGAAGTATCGTACAGTTTATTATATTCTTGAAATGGCATTAAAATCGATACAAATACAATTTTGCGTTATACGTTGTTATACAGAGTCAAATTAGTCTACCATCTATTGCATTGTCAGAATTCCAATCATCATCCAGCAGCAACTTCATCGATGACGTTCTGATATCAGTCTAGACATAGAATATTACGACTATGTAAAACCTATGTGAACCTGGCACCCGACTTCAAGCCTTCAACTTCAACCCGACAAACGAAATAAACGCTACTACAAACAATTACAAACGATTTTAAAGCCAGGGCTTGGAGTTTAGTGACTTTTCGTCAGTTTTCGAAGAACTACAAACGAAATAAATGCTACTACAAACAACTACAAACAATTTTAAAGCCAGAGTTTGGAGTTTAGTGACTTTTCGTGGGTTTTCATGTAACTACAAACGAAATAAACGCTACCACAAACAACTACAAACGGTTTTAAAGCCAGAGCTTGGAGTTTAGTGACTTTTCGTAGGTTTTCATGCAACTACAAACGAAATAAACGCTACTACAAACAACTACAAACGATTTTAAAGCCAGAG